CTTTTTTTATTTGGGACGAAAGTCTGAAATCACTTTTATCAAAACCTTGCTAAAACCGATAAGGCTGTCCACCAGTGACTCTTGGATTCGAACCTGCAATCATTGGATTCTTGCACGCCTTAGGGCCGCATCTCTACGCAGCAAATTCCTACTGCGCAATCCGTTTCCAGGAGTTTGTGTGTTTGGGTTCACGCCGCTTTAAAAACTAGTTTGCGTATAGCGAGAATTTCCAAAGTGACAGATCGTACACGTTTACGATTTGTGCGAAACCCACGAGCAATGACGCGGTGCAGTAAGCCTAAGGATCATAATCGGGGTGAATTTGGGATTCGAACCTGAGCCAAAATTGAGACAGTTCAAATGTATAGCATGATCCTGTGTGTGATACTGTACCAATACTGTTGTCAGGGTTTAACAACATTAGTTGTTGGGTTATCCCACCGCAACACAATAATAGGGGAAGTCGGGTAGCCTAGTGGTTAAAGCGTTTGCTTGTCACGCCGAAGATCCGGGTTCGATTCCCGACATGGGTACAATGTGTAAAGCCAATTTCTGGGGTCCCCGCCGTGATGTTGCTGGAATATTTCTCAACGCGGCGTAAAACCATACTCACTCATTTACTATAATTTTGAAACAAACGCGGATACGAAGCGTTGGTTGTCGCCACATTGCCTGACGACAATCTGTGTTAAGTTAAGGCTCTGTACATCGAAAACATCTGAAGTCAATGTTAATATACATTACACGATGCGCTTAGATGTACGGGGCTTGAATTTCATTGATTTCAGATCGGCAAGACTGACCGAGTCGGGTTTAACGCCGCTTTTTAATACCTTTTCAGTTATATCACGGCGTGTCAGCTCTATATTGGAGGACAGCTCGAAGTGATGCAGGTCTCGGACGTTTGCCACTTTGGTGAAGCACACGGATGTGGTGTTGACAAAGCTAGATATATCGGGACGAACCGGGATTCAAACCAATTGATGACCTTTTCTCTATTCTGGTATAAATTGTTATATATGCAGTAATTTAAGTAAGTTTTTATGTGCTTTCTTTTGAGTAATTGTTAAGTTTGTCAATTTTATATTTCTTTATCATTTTGTTGAACATATTTTTTCGGTCATTTATTAAATTCTTGATTCATCAGAGCTTGAAATGGGTGTCTTAGCTTGCTGGCTTGATGCCTAAAGTCACGGTACCATCTTTATAAAACACAATGCAAAGCTGCGACTCAGAGTGTTGGATTAGAACTGAGCATACGCCTAACCCGCATATCACACATGGAAAATTAGCAAAACTCAACTGACCAATAAAATTCAAGCATTTTACATGCATGGTAACATTTGTCGACCTCAATTCTGTAAACCGGTTGATTTAATAATACACCACATATTATCGGCGCCAGTAGAAGAAAGTACTGCTCCATTCTAAAGCTGAATATGGTTCCAGGCCCAGTTGGAAAGGACGATTTAAGGGTAAAGGGCTGTCTTTATGACCTGAACCTGTGGAATTACATAACTTTCGCCATTTCGCATCTTTTATGACTTTTATAGAGATTGCGATATTTTACATGATATTAGAGTTTTTCTCACGTTCTCGACTTTTAAAGTCGTAAAATCAAAAATGTAAACCCAGGTCGAGATCGCGATGTACTCGTCCTCAAACCACAACAAATTATTGATGAAAAAGGACACTGGTAAAGATCTCATGTGGATGATTTCGTTCAGGTTCATTTTGTCATTTTATGGCGCTTCTAACTCATTCAAAGAAGCAGTATTAAAATATCTATTTCTCAATTAATTACACTCAGATTGTGGAAGAATCGTCATCAAGTCTTTGAAAGGCATCAGATAGTGATACAAATAAGGAAGAGAGTCTATGGATTTCAACTTACTATGAGGAACAACGTTTCGGAGTATATGCTTACTCCTTCATCAGGTGAATGAATGATATAAGGCAGAGAAAGGCGATTAGCGCGAGCAATAGACAATGGAAACCAAAACTGTACAGTGAATTAGCGCTGATAGTTATGGACAAGTGGAAATCAGGACTATATTATATATATATGCTCCCATCCATAAATTCTCTTCCCTCATCATCAACAAGTCATGCAATATCCACATCACGTCATGCCTACTTCATCAGAGTAAGTGAGAGAGTAGGGTCTGACGCTGCTGTGAACACTATTTCTGTTATATCGCGGTGTACCAACTTAATGTTGGTGAAGTAATGTAGATTGCAGACATAATCTGCGAGATCGCAATCGACTGATACCTACTTTCAATCGATCCTAGGGGCGGTCGGGTAGCCTTATGATTAAAGTGTTCGTTCGCCACGCCGAAGATCCGGGCGCTCTCTCTCTCTCTCTCTCTCTCTCTCTCTCTCTCTCTCTCTCTCTCTCTCTCTCTCTCTCTCTCTCTCTCTCTCTCTCTCTCTCACACACACACACACACACACACACACATACACAAACACGAAACTAGAATGGCTGAGGAGAGTTAGTGAGTGAGTATGGTTTTACGCCGCTTTTCGCAATATTCCAGCAATATCACGGCTTCACACATTGTACCCATGTCGGGAATCGAACCGGGTCTTCGGCGTGACGAGCTAACGTTTTAACCACTAGGCTACACGACCGCCCCGGCTCAAGAGATAAAGACTCGGTAACCAGATTTCCGCACACCCGATCCACCTGTTTTACAAGTGTAAGATAGCAGTAAGGTACTTGTATAATGCTCAATCACTTTCACTTCAATTTAAGAATGATGTTAACCTGTTCATAATGGTCGTCTCCAAACTGATATACAACATCATCAACCCAAAATATCTCGAGCCCCGTTGTAAGGAAGACCCCCATCTCTGTGGCGTTCTAGACAATACCCTGGTCAACAGTCTGGGGGAGCATCATAAATGTCATCTGTTTAGTTTATGACATTATGACTCGTTCAGAAATGTTCAACAAGGTAACAAGGCTACATGTATGCACGTACATTTTAAGAGTCAGTGTTCCTCCACTTGAAGATATTTCTAGGCATGGTTGTCATGTTGTGATTGTTTCAAATCCTTTGTATCACAAGGCTGACAGGAGAGAAAGCTATTGTTAATGACCACATTTTGACATACTGACACATTTGTATCCTCTTTTAATGTGGCCGAACCAATGTCAAATTTATTAGTACACGTAATTGTTGTTTTACACCGCCGTCAGAAATAATATCAAGTCTGGAAGAGGCAAACCAGTGGATGATGACGTGAACATTGATTCGCTGTCGGGTCGCTGTCACATTATTCAATCAGGCCAATCACTCATTCAAACAGACCCGTGAAGATCCGGAGTTGAATAGGTCTTCAGCAACCCAATGTTCGCCGTAAGAAGCGACTCTGCTTGTCGTATGAAGCCACTAATCGGTTGGTCAGGCTCGCATGCATGTTAATGCATGTCATCGTATCCCAATTGCGTGGATCGATGTTCATTAGAGCAATCACTTGATTGTCTGGTCCAGACTCGATTTCCCTATTTTGACATTTTTGTACCATATTTTCCCCAGGGTTAGTTTTCAAGTGAACAAGTGACTTGTCCTTGCATGTGTCTGTTATGGGTGCCAACGGCGATTAAAACATTTAATCATATTCAAAACTTTTTACTATTTTTTGTAGTTCCGTAAAATTAATAAAACATGCTCTAGTTTTTACTCACGTGACCGATTTAATACAAAAAGTAGTCATATATTTCCACAAAACGTACATATACAAAATCTCATAACACTATATAAGTATGTGCATTTTAAATCATGTCAGTTCGGACAATGGAACTGCCATAGAGGTAAGCAAGCCATGTTCACAGAAGAGCTCTACACTGTAGCGAAGTTAACCAGTGCACTTCCTTCTCCAGTTGACCTTTCGCCGGCTCGTGTGTAGACGATATCGCACATGAGATAACGTTAACTTTATATTTTTTATGTTCGCAAGTGCCCGTCTATTTCTGCACATATTGATTTAGGTCGTATTGACTTTTTCGAATTATCGAGTCCATAATGGGTCATACACACGTAGCATGACTGTGATAGGAAACTGTAATTGGAGGTGGAGATTCCCTTGAGAGTACAGTAAACCAAAGAAGAATGTTGCATTCAGACCCGATATTTTTGCAGTTACAGATATTTTCTTAATAAAAAAATATGAGCGAAAATATATTCTTTTTAAATCCACATTGAAACAATGTCATTTTTGTGGCAGACAATTTCTTTTTTTCCAACAATATGAAGCATACGTATTTGTTTCAGGACGTTTCGGGGGACACCCACCCCCAACTCACTTCTCCTCCAGAATATCAAATGGTCGGCCCCTAAATAAACAGAAAAGGCAACACAATCCCTTCCATAATCATCTGAGTCCACTGTACAATTCCGACTATATCATAAGCATGTGTTTATGAATCACTATCAAATAGAGATAATGGTGTTCGCGTAATATATGGTCAATGTTTTAATAGATATTCATGATTTGTACACTAAAAAAAACTGGGGTTTTTTTAGTTTCCAGTTTTGTTTGCAATTACTGTGTTTTGGCCTCTAATCTGCTTGTCATTTTATGTGGAACGAAATAATCAAACTCAGACATTAAAAGCAGGGCACTATCTCGAATAAAAGGAATAAGGACGATTGCAGAATATCACTACCAATGGCATTAGGTTACTTCGGCAAAGGTAATATGCAAGCAGGTAATATTGATTTTATGTAACAAATCACATCAAGCCATACGTTTTTGTTTTCACGTCACGATGTGTAATATAATCATAAAAACATTTCACAGTGACGGCAAAACAAATCCTGATATAATAAGAACAAAGTTGTAATTTTAAACCAGTAACTGCATGTATGAATCGGTTCTTTCTTCTTGTTAGGTGAGCGAATAAATTATTGTATGACAGCACCTGCTGATAAAGAAATAAGGCCACCACTCAGTGCAGGCTACCACTGAAGCCTATCCCCTAGACGTCGACAACAACCACACTGTAAATCCCCACATCTCCGGGTTGGACTAACGTTATCAGCGGGCATAAAACAGTACTAACACTACCTCACAGTCACCTGGAAATAGGGTGTTCGCCACACTCAGTGCTATGGGGGCTACAAGGAGATCTCATGTGTCCTATTTCATCCTGCTATTTCTGTTGCCAGTTGCAGGTAACTTTATCAAGTTATTTCATTTTAACGAAATAGTTTCTAGGTCAGTGTTATATTGAAAAATAATTGGATAATAACAAGGCTGGGTTATAATTAAGTATATAGGTACATGTTAAGAATACCGGATACGAATACGCCATTTTTGTTTCATGCCATTCTTAGAGCAGCACGAGACAGCTTGACTATTTTTTTTTAAATTGGGCGACGAAGCTCAACATAAGCAGGAAGAGACCCCACTTGCATTTGTATCGTTGAATATGATTTAACCCCGAAATTGAACCTCAAGGCAATTCGTCAACATCCAAAATTGGACATCAACAAAGAAAAATAGGGTGAGTGAGTATGGTTTTAGGCCGCTTTTAGCAATATTTCAGCAATATCACGGCGGGGGACACCACAAATGGGCTTCACACATTGTACCCATGTCGGGAATCGAACCCGGGTCTTCGGCGTGACGAGCGAACGCTTTACCCACTAGGCTACCCGACCGCCCCAAGAAAAAGAGAAGTTCTATAATGGCGTAATGCATCCTTATCAGTGACATGTATCGGCAACACAACAAACACGTTGGATTTTCTATTGACTTTGAAACTAAAAATGATATTTCCTTGCGAAAGTATGTTTCAACCCCCAAAGCCCCATGTTACTTTAGCGAGGCGGATAAAAATGGCAACTAAAACACACTTAGAAACAGTTACTAAGGAATGTGGAGTATTCTATATTCTTTTCAGTATATATTTTCAAAAGATTTCTTGTCATGTTTGATCGACTGTGGGAAAAGCATTCGGCGATTGACATGACGTAACATTGTCAATAATCGGTCGTCTCAAGTCTGCCAAGTAAGGGTTCAGTTACCGGTAGGGTAGGACATGTTAACCCTTCTCGCGCACACATTGTGTCATCACTCTTACGCTCAGTGGAATTTGTTTCGGAGGATGATCGAGACTGTTTATTTTCTGGCGTTGACGATGTATATATTTGCATTAGTTTACACTGAACCCCCGTTAATGTGGACAACGGAGGAGCAACGAATCTCCGAGATAACGAATAATTGTAACTGGTAATGTTATTTATTTATACATGATGTTGGATTAATGGTGTCCGGATTAAATGTTAATATACTCCCTTGGGGATCTTCCAATACCAATTCGTGTGATCATTTTGAGAACAGATGACCTTTAATGTGATCACACTTGCTTATATCAACTTGTCTAACGTATAGTATTCTTGTGAAATCCCTATATTCCTGACCCCGTTAGACTGGAAACCCCGGTTAGTAATCAATGTGTTATTATTAATCGACTTAGGAGAATGGTTTCATTCCGGCGTCCTATTCACGAAGCTGTTGTAGCGCTAAAATTGTTATAAAAGTGTCGTAGCGAATACAAAGCTATCTGAGCCTTATCTCGAAGCTGTCTTTGTTATTTTGACGACAAAAATTAACACAGGGTCGGACCTGTTTTTGAAACTTTGGACATGTAAAATGGCGGACAACAGATGGCATAGTAAAGAAAACGTATGTATAGGTGGATGACATGTTACCCATGAATTAAGTGTCGATTACTAGAGAAAATATTGTAAAGTCGATACTTCATTCGTATATGATACTTCTTCTCCGCTGATCATAATATCATATTCGTAGATGAAAGTATCTTCTACGTGGAAGTAAGTATCATGTACGTAGATGATATTTTTTATAATGTGGCACTAATACGCATACTAATGAATACATTATCAATGATAAAAGAAAACAACCGTATTCTCTCAGTGTTGTGCAACAAATACTTGACGTCATTCGCAGGCAGAGTGAGTGAGTTTGGTTTAACGCCGCTTTTAACAGTATTCCAGTTATATCACGGCGTGTCAGCTTAATGTTGAAGGAAAGCCCGAAGTGATGCAGGTCTCAGAAGTTTACCACTTCGATGAAACTCACGAACACGGGTAGGATGCTGACAAACCTATAAACATAATCGGGGCGAACCGGGATTCGAACCCACAACCTTAGGTTTCTGGCGTGCCCAAGGGACGCAACTCCGCATAGCGAATCGCGGCGCCTGAATCGACTGGGCCATCCGTGCTCCCTATTCGCAGGCAGAAACAATAGCGTTCTTTTAGACTACAAGCAGACCTTATGTATCTCTGTTCTGATTGTAAAATTAATAATGTCTGCAATAGCATTCACACTTGTTGAAGTATTTTCCGTCGTTATGGTACATATATCCTCAGATCTTGAAGCAGGGAGGCATCGTGTCGGCGTAAAAGACCTGGTTTCAATGAGATTGCAATAATAATATTTGACATGCGTTTGACATGTGTCCATGCCGACAAAAAGTTATTCTTTTTCCTGGTTGATAGGTCTACGGTTTTGCAAGATGTGAGATCCTTCACAGTTTACAGGAGCTCATCACAAGGAAATCATAATATATAACAAATAAACTTACATAGCTGATATTTACAAAGTGCTGCTTATTTTGGTGGTGTGAGTTTCAAGGCATCAGTGATTTAGCAGTGCGCGCCTATCGTCCTAACTCGTGTACAGATTACTTTGGACATATCGCAAGTTGCAGGTGTGTTTAAAATGAATGAAAGGGCCATCCCCGTATATATTGCAACGTTATGACATTTGGTGTCTGGTGTAAGAAGCATGTTATTGAATTCTGGGTTCTCCTTTGTTTCGATCTCACAAGATACCGGCAATGAAAAATAAATTTAAACACCGGTGGACAACTTATAATATAAATGCATTCAGTAATTTCAGTCTCGGGAATATTCAAAATATCCATTTGGAACACACACAACCCTCAACAAAACCCTTTTGTTTTCGTAAGAAATATCTGATAAAAGCAGAGTCAATTGTACGATTCCGACTATGTCAAATAGAGATGACACTAAATGTTCGCGAAAAGGTGAGGGTATCCGGCCCCACCGGTGGCACACGTCTCAAACACACTTACGGCAAGGCAATTGTTCAGCTGAACTAGTGACCCGTGATGATTTGGGGGTAGAATAATAGGTCTTCAGCAACCCATGCTTGCTGTAAAAGCGGACTATGCTTGTCGAAAGAGGTGAGTAAAGGAATTGGGTGGTCAGGCTCGCTGACTAGGTTCATGCATGTCATCGATCCTAACTGTGTGGATCGATGCTCATGATGTCAATCACTGGATTGTCTGGTCCAGGCTCGATTATTTTCGGACCGCCGTCATTTTCTGTAATATTGCTGAGTGCGGCGTTAAACAAACAAACAAATAAACCTGAACAAGTGGCACAAGTCAAAATAGGAAATTGCATCATACATCGTTAACATCAGTTACAAATGAATAATGTGCATTACACGTCAAACCATTTCTTTTTTAGCTTGCTTGTACTGCTACCAATGTGGCAGCACAGGCTCAGAAGGATCCTGTAAAACGGATACCAAGACGATGGTAAAATCGGCCAACGACATTTTAAATAACACCAGTCCAGATGAAGAAGTACATGTAGTAGATCTAGATACAGACTCTGAGGGAAGGACCCTGCCCTACATCAAGAAGTGTCCCAACTCTAGGAATGTGTGTATGATCGAAACTGTTGAGGCTGCACGTAAGTTGAGTACTTGGTCATTGCCATCCACATCAACATCAGGGAACACGGGCGACTCGGTCGTCCATAAACCTATGGCAGTGGGTAATACCGGCTCGCAGTTATCATGTTTCTACGTTCATCATCATTATTCGTGCTCGTGGGTTTTCCTAAAGTGGTAAACGTCTGAGGCCTGCATCAGTTCAGATTTACTCAAACAAAAAGCTGACACGCCGTCTAATAACTGAAATATTGTTGAAAAGGTCGTTTAAACAAACTCACACAGATATATCAATAACTCGTATTTTTCGCATTTTAATCACGCTCGCGTTAATTTTAAGATTTACAGTATACATCCTCGTCTCAGGACATCTGCAGTTGTGTTTTGTCTGGCAGCAATATAGTTGAATCTTCAGGCCCCTTTTGGACCCCTTTACTTAACACCCGACATAAATGAGTACACAGTCGTGCAAAAATATGAATTATGTAAAATTAAAAAAATATTACAAATGTTTACGAAACATCGACAGTAATACGCTCAAATATGGAAATCGAGGAGAAATGGTCCTGAGTGAGTGAGTGGAGCGGTCGGGTAACCCTTTGGTTAAAGTGTTCGCTCGTCACGCCGAAGACCAGGGTTCGATTCACCACATGGATACAATGTGTGAAGCCCATTTCTGGTGTCCCCCGCCGTTGTTTTGCTAGAAGAATATGGCTAAAAACGGCCTAAAACCATACTCGAGTTGGGTTTTATACCACATTCAGGAACATTCCAGCTATATCATAACATGTAGGGTATCGAATTCGGGCCTGCGGCGTGCCGAGTGAACGTTGTAACCATTGGGCTACCACATCGCCTCTAGTATCAACAGGGTGTCATCGTATACTCAACGCTGCGCATCGATGATTATGCTACCAACGTCGTCACTGGTTAGTTTCATCGATCCGGACTGGATAATTCACCTGCCATAGTCAAATGGATGGAATATTGCCATCCACGTAGACAGCATAAAATTATATCCTCTCACTACTCGAAAAGATTTTATGTTTTGTTAAACTGCATGTGCATCTTCCTGTACGTTCACATGTATGGTAATACACATCTTAAGGTGGTTACCGCTGATTTGTTGCTGTTGAAGTCTGGTTTGTTGTTTTACGCCGCACTCAGCAATATTCCAGCTATGTTACGGCGGTCTGTAAATAATAGAGTCTGGGCCAGACAATCCAGTCATTGACATCATGTGCATCGATCCACGCAATTGGGATACGATGACATGCATCAACCAAGTCAGCGTGCCTGACCACCCGATCCCGTTAGTCACCTCTTACGACAAACATAGTCGCCTTTTACGGCAAGCATTGGGTTGCTGAAGACCTATTCTACAACATACAGTTATAACACAGTATCAGCTTAATGCATGAGGGTAGCCCCTGATATGGCCCTGAGAGAAAACGGCTAACAATCCGGTTTAGATTAGCAGATCCTGATACGTCCTAAAACGCCTTAAGCAATAGTAGGTTGAAAACGTGATCAAATCTGTTTCTAACCAATGTTGTGTGGCATTAGTTAGTTCATCAATCCAACAGAAAAGGAAAGGAGATTGACTAAACTGAACAGAACCGCGAACACGCACAAGAGACGTTCCTGAAATCACCAATGATACATTGCTCGTCATTGGATCGTCAGTACGGGTTTACTGTCATTGCACTGAAGCCCTACTATGGTCAGAAGGTGATATACTACGTTAGGCTTTCAATGGACCCAAAAAGACAGGAAACATCGATTTCCCCGCCTCTACCTCCGGTAAATACTTTTAATACCGTCGTTTTGTTTTTTTTATATAATTAGATAAGTTTGACCACAATAAGGGGTACCTGTTCTAAACTTGATATGTCAAATTTTGTGCATACAAGCGATAAAACCATTTCCATAAGCATAGAAAATCTCTGCAGAAAGAAGAGTCTGTTGTAAGATTCCGACTATATTAAAAGCATGTGTTTATGAATCACAATCAAGTAGTGAGTGAGTGAGTATGGTTTTAGGCCGCTTTTAGCAATATTCCAGCAATATCACGGCGGGTGACACCACAAATGGGCTTCACACATTGTACCCATGTCGGGAATCGAACCCGGGTCTTCGGCGTGACGAGCGAACGCTTTAGCCACTAGGCTACCCGACCGCCCCAATCAAATAGTGATGATTCCAGGTGTCAAAACATTATCTCCATCTTTTCAGAGACGTCGGACATTCTTAGCTACATCCGGGACTGCTCTGACGGGGAGACGTTCTCGTTCGGAAACTTGTCCATGCTGCAAGGCATTGAGCACAACAACTTCAGCACGTGTGCCTACGACACTCGCGGATACATGACCTGTGTCACCACCTGCCAAACAGACTTCTGCAATGGACCAAAGGCCGGTGCCACCTCACTGATGATGTCGGTCGCTCTCCAGATTGCCTGCCTGTTGTGTGTCTTCAGAATGACGTGCACGTCTTTGTAATGGCGTCGAAGCATCACAGTGAGTGAGTAAGTTAATATTCAACGTCACATCGGCAATATTTCAGCCACATGGTGACGAGTCGAAGCATCACAAGCTACAAGGTACCGGAATTAATCAGCTGGCCATTGCAAGGATTCTACTACAGTGAAACCTCGTCAATCCGGAACCCGTTTAACCGGGAACCCCGATTCTGGAAGGAACATGTACATATATTCAAAAGGATATGTCTCCATTCCGATGATTTGTAAATCCGGAAGTTATTCTAATCCAGAACTGCTCTGCTGTGGATCTCACTGAGTATGCTTTATTTACGATATTGATGGTTCTTGAGAGCATAAACGTAAAGTAGTATCCAATACCTAAGAAAACGGAATTCCTGGCAGTGAGGAACATGGACAACATAATATATTTGTGATAAAGTCCACACTGGGCCACTGACCGAACTAATCAATTCGTTTAAAGTGTGTAAATATGTAATTACTACATGTACGGGTACCACGAATACTTCTTGTAGTATCCTGTAGTATTCATTATCTCCTCATTATTCTGGGCTCCTCTGATCGGCCATAAAAATCCGGAATAAAGAAATGATGTCTTTTTTAAATCTTATCAATAGGCCTGAGTAAGCCTTCGACAAGAATTGTGACGGTTCGAGTTACCTTGAGTTTGGTGTATTTTTTAAATCTTATCAATCGGCCTGACTGGGCCTTCGACAAGCTTCGTGACGGTTCGAGTTACCTTCAGTTTGATGTATTTTTTTAAATCTTATCAATAGGCCTCACTAAGCCTTCGACAAGAATCGTGACGGTTCGAGTTACCTTGAGTTTGATGTATTTTCTAAATCTTCTCAATAGGCCTGACTTAGCCTTGGACAAGCTTCGTGACGGTTCGAGTTACCTTGATTTTGTTGTATTTTTTAAATCTTATCAATAGGCCTGACTATTCCTTCGACAAGCTTCGTGACGGTTCGAGTTACTTTGAGTTTGATGTATTTTTTAAATCTGATCAATAAGCCTGACTAAGCCTTCGACAAGCTTCGTGACGGTTCGAGTTACCTTGAGCATATTGCACATGTGTCACGGTGTGGCCTCGTTAACTCGAATTCCTGGCTATAACGAAATTATCGAGGTTTCCGTTTTTCGGGAAAAGCAGAGATGTATTCTACCTGGGCCATACGTTAATATCGTCCTACACGAAGCACAGATTCATAATGTAGAATCGTGACGGTTCGAGTTACCTTGAGTTTGGTGTATTTTTTAAATCTTATCAAAAGGCCTGACTGAGCCTTCGACAAGCTTCGTGACGGTTCGAGTTACCTTGAGTTTGATGTATTTTTTAAAATCTTATCAATAGGCCTGACTAAGCCTTCGACAAGCTTCGTGACGGTTCGAGTTACCTTGAGTTTGATGTATTTTTTTAAATCTTATCAATAGGCCTGACTAAGCCTTCGACAAGCTTCGTGACGGTTCGAGTTACCTTGAGCTTACTGCACATGTGTCACGGTGTGGCCTCGTTAACTCGAATTCCTGGCTATAACGAAATTATCGAGGTTTCCGTTTTTCGGGAAAAGCAGAGATGTATTCTACCTGGGCCATACGTTTACATCGTCCTAAACGAAGCACAGATTCATAATGTAGTTCGAGTTTAACGATATTTAACCGTAATGATTTTTAAAGGATAAATTAGTTTTCTCGATATGTTAGTTCTTTTATATGTTGTACATGAATAATAATGAAGGTCTGATCAAACATGTTTTCTTTCAAAATCAATGTAACAACACATGTTTATTTTGTTGTGAAAAATGAAATAAAAACACATTTATAATCTAAGCCGCAAGAGTTGTGATTTAATGCAGCATAACGTTGATGAAACTGTTCATATGACGAAAAAGGAGGGACATATTCATGAACATATAAAGATATGATTATTACATCATTCTAAAATTATGTTCTTATCATCAGTGTCTATATACTTTAAGGTAAAACAACAAGAGTACGGCCATGTGACACACCTGCTTTCCACTTGATATGCATTAATTACCACTAAACTTTAATAAACTCACACTCACATTTATTTGACAATCATCTTACAGTGATTGTGATTGAAGACAAATGATATGCACGAGTATATGCACGACATATGCATCATCGACAGCTTCTTGTGCTACGGAAGCGATCGAAACGCTACGAAAGTCGCACGTCTTTGTTAAAGTAGGGGAGTTGCGATCAGCTAAGCGCAACGATAGCTTTGAGGAAGGGCCCTTGGGGTAAATAAAAGTGGCCTTACATGTACAATGTATAAGAACAGTGAGCCGATTAAGTTTGATTGGCAAATACTCTTTACAGCCTACATCATTTTTTCGTCGTTTTCGTCATTAACTGATATATTAGCAAGCAATATTTATACAGAATTCTCACACTGCATAAGGTATAAATTGATATTTATTGTTGCTTTTAAATGTAATTATTAACAAAAATAAACAATTCAGTAGAATAACAAGCTTAATATTATTCACTGGTTTGTCCAGACTAGGTAGTTAACAAGGCGTCGTGTTATAGCTGGAATATTGCTGTCTTTTGTTTTCAGTTAGAAAACATCTCTTGCAGGACAAGGCCCACTTTCTTTAAATCATTTGACACACCTTTTAAAACCCAACAGATATAAAGAAAGAGATCGGTTTTCGATTTCAATCCCGACTGGTCCCCCGAATCAAATACTTGATTTACGTTTCTAATTTTGAGAATGACTGGGGAGAAATATGAGTTGTTATGTTTACCTTGGTGTGGTCTTATCTGCCTCTCCGACAAACACTCACCCTTGGTTTATGTTGTTGACTTACAGATCATGGCATGGTGATCAATGCCTCAGTTATAGTGTTAACCTGAATATTGAAAGGCCTTGCAGGACATATTGCTTTGTGTACCAGGAAGTCTGTATAGTTTTTGTATTGTCTCTCTATGCGCCATAACGCATATAATTTGAGAATTGAGGCAAATAGTCATGTGGGACGTACAAAACGATAGTTTTTCTAATAATTAAATTGAAGGTTTAGAGTGTCATTGAGTGACTTTTATCAGTTATTCTGTAACACCTGCAATAATAAAATACTTGGAAATCGAGTGAAAAGGGCTACGGGTAGCTAGCCTGGTATCCCCCCAAAATATTACTCAGAATCCCCTGGGCTCAGAAATATATAGATCCAATGTAAACCCGTGGATGTCAGAACAGTCACATGTACGTTAGAAAAGACAAAACCTAACCTAATCTGCTTACTCTGTTCAAAGTAGGTACTTCTGTATTTCCTGACGCCCAAAGTTACTACTTGGATATGTTCTACAAAGAAATAAAGAAACCTGTGGCGTGTTGATATGAATAGATAGACTATAAGGCGAGTGGCCAATAATACAATCACACAAAAGTTTACTTTGCCTGACAAATATCTATCTCAAACAAGAAAACTATCACAATTTCTCATTGTTGAAATGTTATATTCTATCTTACATTGTAAATAATATCATGTTTGTAAGTTTGTGAAGATGTGGTGTGCAGTAGGGTTACTTGTACAGTTGTTCAGGTATTTATTTCTCACAGGGGTGTTGTCTTCACAGATAAGTAAAGCATGAACTTTAACACGCTTTGTGGTTAAATGGTAGTTTTTCATTTCTGCCAATTTCCTAAATATGAGACATTAAAATATAAACATATTTTTTATATCAATATCCGCAATATCAATATCAGATCATTTAAGTTCAAAATATTGAAATGATTTATAAATTTGATTTATAAATTTTATGTATTTATTTGTTTATTTATTTATTTATTCATTGTGGACAATGTGGACATAAAATATTAAAAATATGACATGAACAAATGGTGTCAATAAATACTAAAGAAAGTTCTCAATGCTGAAACTTAACTAACAGATTTAAAAAATTACATTATGGAAAAAAGTCCCGCTTGAATTCATGACTGTGTACTTCGGCACAAACGTTTTACGGTGGGGACAAATCGACTTAACAACAAAAGCTGATATGCGATATGTTTTACACCAGTACTGGTGCAACTGTGTGTAACTGTAACCGACAGAAAGTCCAGTCACGGTCATATCAAACAGTGGTCGTAAAAAAAGTGAAAGTAGATGAAATACTTGTGTTGCTATGAATGTCTACTACGATTCATGTATCGGGAAAAAACTACTGATCAGTTTCATTTAACGCTTACGGAAAATTTGAATATATCAATGTTAGATAACTGAGTTGTCGACTTCAAATATGTTTCACAGTATGATACGTTAAATTGCTTAACTGATAAGATGTCGTGCCAATATCACATGGCATTATAAAGCTGAGAGCCTGTACCTCACCTACCTAAAATGTGTATGTGCATTCTGAAAATGTTTGCTTTTGGTTTGTTGTTTAACGCCGCACGCACTATTCAAGCTGAATCTGAAAAGCGGTCTGAAAATAATCCTGTCTGGGCCAGACAATCCAGTAATTGATATCATGAGCATCGATCCACGCAATGGGGATCGATGACACGCATCAACCAAGTCAGCGAGCCTGACCACCCGATCCTGTAAGTCACCTCTTGCGACAAGCATAGTTGCCTTTTATGGCAAGCATGGGTTTCTGAAGACCTATTCTACCCCGGATCTTCACGGGTCCCATTCTGAAAATAAAGCTCCTACCTCACATGTGTATGACGTATTCTGGAGAAGGAACACTAACCTCAAATCTATCATGCCATAAAAAGAACAACAGCCTCCCAAACAGTATCTTGAAAATAAATTAGTCCTGACGAATAGAATGGGATTTAACGTCACGTTCAAGTTTATTTTACCAATTTAGCAATGTGCGTGCGTGCGTGCGTGTGTGCGTGCGTGCGTGTGTGCGTGCGTGCGTACGTGCGTGTCCACCAAGAAGGTTATGGACACCTTATTTGGTGATAACAGAGGTATAATTCATATTGACTGTCTGACACACAACAACAATGGACATTTTGCGAAAAGTGAAGTGGCAAAATTCGACATGGCGTTCTTCTTCATTAGGACAAGGGGCGGTCGGGTAGCCTCGTGGTTAAAGCGTTCGCTCGTCACGCCGAGGTCCGGGGTTCGATTCCCGACATCGGTACAACGTGTGAAGCCCATTTCTGGTGTCACCCGCCGTGTTATTGCTGGAATATTGCTAAAAACTCATTAGGACATCACTCATTAGGACAATGCAACAGCCGAGTCGCAACGCCTGATGTCTACGAATGCGGGTTCGAAGGCTTGCTACATCATCCCTTTTTTCTCAAGATGGCAAATGTACTTCTGAACGACACAGGGTAGACATGAGTGAATAAGGCCCATGATTGATGGGTGTAACACGCCCTTTGACACCGACTTAACATTACGCAACAGGGAGTTGTATGATAAGGGACATTATTATGATAAGTCGCACATGACAACGACAACCATACAGCTTAGCTTTTTTTTATGTTCGATGGCCTGGCTTGTTCCAAAGTAAAAATCAAATCTTTACATCAGGAAGCAGTTCATATTAAAGCAGGTCATGTTCTGTCAAATTTGACGGTCTGTGTGTCTAATAGTTGTTGTAGACATCCTACTTCCTGTCTGGTTTGAGAGCCAGTGTAAACATAATAGTTAATTTGCTTTCTGAAGTCTGCATCGGGCTCCGAGTGGAAGGTTTTGACGAAGAAAGTCGAAGCATTGTATTCGGGTGAACCCACTGTGTAAACCGTGGATCGTTTACATGCTA